TCACCGTGGAGGAAAGCTGTCTTTACATCTAGCTGCTCGAGATGTAGATCTTCAGCTGCAACAATACTCAGGACTGTTCTGATGGTAGTCAGTTTGACTACTGGAGAGAAGATCTCTGTGTAATCAACTCCTTCTCTCTGCTGAAATCCTTTAACCACTAATCTGGCCTTGTATCTCTTGGAACCATCATGTTCCTCTTTGATTCTGTACACCCATTTATTGCTCAAGGCCTTTTTCCCCGTTGGTAGCTTCGCAAGTTCCCATGTCTTGTTAGTGTTCAATGATTTTATTTCATCTTTCATGGCGAGCTCCCACTTGCTCGCATCATCCACTCGAAGGACCTCATCATAGCTTTCTGGCTCTCCACTGTCACTCAACAATAGGTAGTTGAGATGAGCTCTGGGCTGTAGTGATGGATACTTTGGATTAGGCTTGGGGACTCTAGCTGACCGCCTCAACTCTCTAACGGGCGAAACAGTCTCTCCATCTTCATCTGCCCCCTCTGAAGTGGTCTCATCCATCATCTCTTCTTCTTTATCAGAACTAGCTTCGGGATTGGCTCCACTTGAGGCATCATCTGACTCAAAATATGTAGGATCACTCTGCATCAAGCTAGTGGGCTGAACTGCATCACGGTCTTTGTAGATGACTGATTCGTTAAAGACCACATCCCTGCTTCTGATGATTTTCTTGTTCTGCTCATCCCAAAACTTGTAGCCAAACTCATCGCCGCCATAGCCAACAAAGAAACATTTTAAGGACTTAGGATCGAGTTTGCTTCTAGCATGATCACTCAGATGTACATATGAAACACATCCAAATACTCTCAGGTGAGAGAGGTTTACCTGCTTTCCACTCCATACTTCTTCAGGTATTTTGTGCTCCAAAGGCACTGATGGTCCCCGGTTGATCAAGTAGGCAGCTGTGTTGACTGCTTTTGCCCAGAATTGCTTTTGAAAACCTGCTTGTAATCGCATACTTCTGGCTCTCTCAGTCAATATTCTGTTCATGCGTTCTGCTACGCCATTCTGCTGGGGTGTACCTGGCACTGTTCTCTCTAATCTAATACCGCTGTCATAACAGAACTTCTTGAACTCTGAGTCTTCATACTCGCCGCCGTTGTCAGAACGAAGCTTCTTGATCTTCAAACCGGTCTCGTTCTCAACCATAGCCTTCCATCGCTTGAAGACTTCAAACACTTCTGATTTGTGTTTCATGAAATAGACCCAAGTCTTCCTCGAGTGATCATCTATAAAGGTCACGAAATATAACCTTCCGCCGGTGGATGGAACTGATGCTGGACCCCACACATCTGTGTGAACTAACTCAAGCTTCTCTTCTTTAGGAGTTCTGCCAACCCTTTTGAAGCTTATTCTCTTTTGTTTCCCTAGAATGCAGCTTTCACATAGGTCAATATCAGCCGATCTCAAACCTGGTAACTTCCCGTTCGATTGCATAACCTTTAGGCCTTTGCTACTCATGTGACCTAGCCTCTGGTACCACAAATTTGGGTCTTCATTACTTTCAGCCACTGCAATGGAACCTCGTGCATCTATCGTCATGTAGAGAGATCCAGTCTTCGTACCACGGGCAACAACCATGGATCCCTTTGTAACCTTCCATGTATCACATGCAAAGGTTGATACGTATCCCTCTTTCGCCAATTGTCCTATGGAAATCAGATTTTTCCTCAAGCTAGGAACATGTCTCACATCGCTCAGCTTCCATATAGACCCATTGAGCTTGATCTGCACGACTCCTTTGCCAACAATATCACAGGGCTGATCGTCACCAAGATTGACTTTTCCTAGGTTTCCTGAAACGTAGTTCTCAAATAAATCTCTATTTGAGGTAGCATGAAACGAAGCTCCTGAATCCAGCACCCACGATTCAGTTTTGCTCTCCAACGAACAGATTAGGGCATCATCTGATTCTCCAGAGGCCACGTTCGCTTCAGTCTTGTTCTCCTTGTCCTTCTTGGGTTCTCGACACTGATTTTCATAGTGGCCAAACTTGCCACAATTCCAGCAGTCTATTTCCTTCTTGCCCTTGCGGTTCCTGGACTTTGGCCTTCCGTTCCTCGAGTTAGATCTTCCTCGGCTACTCCCTCTATTTCTGTTTCTGTTTCTTCCTCTGCCCTCAAGGTTCAACGCCGACCCTGAATTAGAAATCCCTTCCTCTTGTCTTCTTATTTCCTCAGTCATAATCATGTCCACCACCTCTGAAAACTTCAGTTTTGATTTGCCACATGATCCGCTAATCGAGATAACGGTACCCTTCCAACTGTCGGGTAATTGACCAAGTATCAAGAGGGCTTGGATTTCATCGTCAAACTGAATATTGACCGAGTTTAGTTGATCCGTGATCTCGTTAAACTCGTTCAGGTGTTCCTTGAATTTCTGGCTCTCGGACATCCTCAAATTAAACAACTTTTTAATGAGATGTACCTTATTCGCCGCAGAGGGCTGCTCATACATACTGGACAACGCCGCCATGAGATCCGCCGTCGTATTCTGATTCTTGATGTTGAACGCTACTGATTTAGACAAGGTCAACCTGATCGCTCCAAGGGCCTTTCGATCCAATAGCTTCCAATCCGCATCTTTCATATCCGTCGGCTTCTCTCCCAATGGTAGGTATAAATCCTTCTGATAGAGGTAGTCATCCATCTGCATCTTCCAGAACCCGAAGTTTGTTCCATCAAACTTCTCAATCTTGGATGTTTCCTTCTCAGATCCCATTGTCTCTGACCTCAAATCGCTCGCGCCGAACCTGGTCGCTCTGATACCACTTGTTGGGGATGCACAACCCCCCTGATGCGATTTGGAAATAGAGATTTAGGAGAGAAGAGAGAAAATCAAACAATCTCAAACACACAAGATTTACGTGGTTCGCTTCTCAATGTGAGAAACTACGTCCACGGCCGCCGCAGGAGAAAAATTCACTAATTTTCGTCTCAATACATCATGCCCTAGCCAACCCTTTTATAGACTTAAGGGTTTAACCAATAAAGAAGGAAACAGAACAAAACAGGTTAAAATTCGAAACTGGGCCAAAACCCGACTCCGGTCGACCGCAGCACCACGTGCGGTCGACCGCGACGAATCCTATTCCTGATCGAGCTCTCTGGACTTTGGGCGGTCGACCGCAGCGACATGCTCGGTCGACCGCGACGAAGACAGAACTCTGGCCTGCTCTCTGGACTTTGAGCGGTCGACCGCAGCGCCACATGCGGTCGACCGCGATGAGCTCCTGGCCTGTGCACCCAGCTGTGCACATAGGCGGTCGACCGCCGCGCCATTGTCGGTCGACCGCAAAGCTGTAAAATCTCTTCTTCGTCGTTTTGCTTGAACTTCGTCGTCGTCGATCATGTTCCTCCTGTTCCAACTTTGTTCCTCCTCTCTTCTGAAGCATAGGGCATATCTGATAGTTAGGCTTCACATATCTTAACAAACCCTAGATTGGATTCCAACACGAACTCCCAACCACACGAGGAAGTCAAGATCTCCAACTGGCAACTTCGCAATGATATCTCCACCGAAGTTTAGATCTCCAAGATCCAAGCTTCTAACAACGAATTTTCCTCCACCCAAAACAAACCCTAGGTCTGAAACCTTAGAGCTCTGATACCAATTGTTACACGTCGGCGGAAGCGTGCTCGCGAACCAAATACCCACACGAGTCGGCGACCAAGCGAGAAGAACAACCAACGAGTGCAATTCACAAAAGAACGACACAAACCAATCACAAACACAGAGATTTACGTGGTTTGACAAATTGCTTACGTCCAAAGGGAGAGGATGATTTTGACGTTTATTGTTTTTTTGTAATCCTAGTCCCTTTTATAATGACAACTTTGCAGACATAATATAGGTACTAGAAATGTTAAAAACAAATTGAGCCTAACAGATTATTAAAAATTTAACTCATTATCGTTTCCTAGATTATATCATCCCAGGGCTATAGTGAGTTAAATTAGTCATGAGGTAATGCTCTCAATTAGTTTGTTCTTTCACTAATACAATTGGTACAATTAACGAGCAAATTTAACTATATTGGCAATTTGTGGAACTAATATAAATGTAAAGACCAATTGCAGTTACAACATATAGAAATAGTAATTTAAATGTTTATTTAGCTATAAATAAAAAAGTATAATTTTTTGCAAGTGTAGTTACTTCGCTGTAAGTATATCTTTTTGGACAAATTTTCAAACCCAACCTGTTTGTCAAAAAAATCTCAAAAAAAGACCTGTTTCAAACTTAATTTCAAAAACCGACCTAGTTGGACAGAAACTGGTCGGTTTTTAAAAAAAAAAATTCCCAAACTTCACGAGAGTTGAAGTCCCGGAAGTTTTGTTATATAAAAAACTTCACGGGATTTCAACTCCCGTGAAGTTTGAGAACTTTTTTTTTCAAAAACCGACCCAGTTTCAGCCAACTGGGTCTGTTTTTAAAATTAAGTTTGAAATGGATCTGTTTTTGGGAATAAAATTCAAAATAGGTTGGTTATGAAAATTTGTCCATACCTTTTTTGAAAATATAGTTGAACAGAGAAATGTTTTTTCTCAAAAATAATTTTTAAACTAGTCAATAATAAGCATTTTGCAACGACAATTACTCAATTGATATAGATTTTTTTGTTGGGTTTTTTTTTTTTTTTTTTTTTTGGGGGGGGGGG